AAAAAAAAAAAAAAAAAAAAACACTCATTGCTCATTTCCAGCTCTAAATTACATTTTGCTCCACCCTCCGGCGCCCAACACACAGATCGAGGCCATATACAAGGGGGTTGCATACATTTTGCTGGAGGCCCGGTGAACGCGTGCGGAGGCCGTTAAACGGGAAATGTGGCTGCCAAGCAGTGCCATTGGATTGTGATCTCTGACATCTGACACCCTCCATCATCGTGCTCTTACTGCTGACGATGACGAGGTGTACGGAAGGTGGCGCCGGGGCGGAGGGAGGGGTGGTTGGGGGTTGGGGTGGCCACAGTTTCAAACTGATGTTCTGCCAAACCAAACAACAGGATTCTTGCACCTCTGAGGCTGAGACCCTCGGAAGGCGCGCGTTGGTGTAGGTCTGGGTTGCACCGCTGTAGGGCTTGACTTGCGATCTGATTAGGACAATGGAAAAGTTCACGAATGATGCCCCCAGAAGGAGACTGTCCTTGGGGCTGTCACAAGCCATCTGATCTCCCCACTGGTTGACTACAATGACAGGCACCTCCCGAGGCCTAGCATCCAGCCTCTACTACGATCTGGACTTGAAAAAAAAAAACATCATCTATTATTTGCAAATTGCTTGTATTTCACGTATTTTGCCTGGGCACTGGGCCCTCATAAAGAGGAAATTTCCTTTAAAGAACAAAACAATAAAAATAAAATAAAATAAAATAAAAAAATCATCTATTGATCACCACATCTTGCCTCTCTCAAGTTACACAGAACCCGCCACCCATGCCGGATGGACGTCTCCAATTGGAATTAACTGTAAATGGATGGGTGTAGTGTTGACTTTTACTACTGCTTCACAGGCTATTTAATTTGCTGATCATGTGAAATGGGGCATGCAACCAACCCGCACACAGCATTATAACTGCAGTTTTCGTCATCGGGTGCAGAGGGAAAAAGAAAAACAAAAACAAAAAGCATTTATAGACAAGAGAAACTACACACACACACACACACACACACACACACACACACACACACACACACACACACATGCGCGCGCGTACAGAAACATACAGCGAAGAGAAAAAGAAAAGAAAAAGGAAAATGAAATCACTTCGCGCCTTCAACGGCCCAGCGCCCCATCCTCTTCCCCATAGCCCTCCCACTTTCCTCAGCCCCCCATCTCTCTCTCTCTCTCTCACACACACACACACACACACACACACACACACACACACACACACACACACACACACACACAAACACAACCAGATAGCGAAAAGAAAAAAGCAAGAGAAAGGAAAATAAAA